AGAGACTGTATATTGAACTGCAAATGCTTAGATTGTCTGAATTGAACTTGTGAGGCATAATGTTTTTGACATTTAGGGAGAGGGCGATTTGTCATGTTTATCTAACAATGCAGGTGTGCATTTTGGGATTTAGAGATAAGCGAAAAAGAGAGGAGATAGAGAGAGGAAATAAAAAGAAAAATGCATGGATCACAGATGCTCCTAATCTCTGTGTCTGTCAGTATGTCTGTTTGTCTCTCTCTCTCTCTCTCTCTCTCTCTCTCTCTCTCTCTCTCTCTCTCTCTCTCTCTCTCTCTCTCTCTCTCTCTCTCTCTATCTCTCTCTCTTTCCTCATTCTTTCCTCATTCTTTCCTCATTCTTTCCCTCTCCAACGCCACTAGTATCCAAACCTCCTCCCCCTCCCCTTCTTCCCCTCCCCTTCTCCTTCCCTCCCTCCCCTCCCCCCCTCACCCATCACTCCCTGCAGCATCTAATGATGAGCGACGGCGAGAGATACCGTCGTGATGGTGATGTAATGAGAGATTAGAGACCAGTAGAGACAGTACAGGTAGGAGGCCATGATCTGCTATAATTGCCGTCCCGCTGAGTCAGATGCTGGTGGTCTGTCGCTCCCGGTAATGGGGCTGGGGGGGCGTGCTGGTCGTTGGGGGTGGTTGGGGGTGGTCTTTGGTGGGGGTTGGAGGTGGTCTTCGGTGGGGGTTGGGGGTGGTCTTCGGTGGGGGTTGGGGGTGGTCATCGGTGGGGGTTGGGGTGATTGTGGTTGGCTTTAGGGGTTGTGGTAACTGTGTGGTAGTCTTTGCTGGTGACTGTGGTGAGGCTATTGTGGTTGGCTTTCGTGGTTAGCTTTAATAACTGGGGTAATTGGGGTTGGTTTTGTGGGTGTAGTCGTTGGGGTTATGGGTCTTATTGTGACTGCTGTGGTTATGGTTGTACTCGTAGCCACCCGAGTTCTAGATGCGGTAGTGTTTTTTGTGGTTAAGTGACGGCTGCTAAAGTGTCGAATTTAGTGCAAGAAAAATGGCAATTCACGTAGACACAAATATTCAAGCAAAGTGATTAAAATATTAGTGACTTTGTTTTCCGAAAGAGAGAGAGACAGACAGACAGACAGACAGACAGACAGAAAAATATTGATAGGAAGTGAAACAAAGAGACAGAAAAGGAGAAAGAGAGAGACATAAAGAATCACACAGACAGACAGACAAGAGACAACGAGACAGACATACAAAGACAAAAAGAGAGAGAACAAGAGAGCAAGAGACGTTATTCAGAAAAAGAAAAAAAATAAGAAGATTATCTTAAGCAATGCCAGAGTCGGACAAACAAGAAACAGCTTTAAGTAAGCGCTAAGTAAAGTCAGTACGTAGATTCGGATCAAAGTGGATAAACGCAAGTGAACATAATGCAATAAAGAAAGGTAAGGCGGACTCTTAAAATCGACGAAGAGAAAATATTTGTTTATTTATAAATCGGTTCATTAATTGATATAAATACACGTATATAGGTAGAGGCTTGTAGAACAATCTTGTAGGTACAGCTGGTATACAGATGGGGGGAGAGGGGCAGGTGTGAAAGAGCAGAGGAGGAGGGGGAGAGGGTGGAGGATAAAGATAAGATGTGGAGGAGGAGGAGGAGAATAAGGAAAGAGAGTTGGAGGAAAAGAAAAAGGAGGAGGAGAAGGTGGATGATAAGGAAGAAGATGTGGAGGAAGGGGATATGGAGGATGAAGGGGAGGAGGATAAGAGAGAAGTGAAGGAGAAGGAGAAGGAAGAATTGTAGGAGGAGGAGAATACGAAATGGAATAAGAAATGTAGGAGGAGGAAGATGAGGAAGAAGTGGAGGAAGAAGAGGAGAAAGAAGAAGTGGAGAAGGAAGAGGAGGAGGAGAGAGAAGGAGAAGTGGAGAAGGAGAAAGAAGAAGTGGAGAAGGAGAAAGAAGAAGAAGTGGAGGAGGAGGAGAAAGAAGAAGTGGAGGAGGAGGAGAAAGAAAAAGTGGAGGAAGAGGAGAAAGAAGAAGAAGTGGAGGAGGAGGAGGAGGAGGAGGAGGAGGAGGAGGAGGAGGAGGAGGAGGAGGCTCTGGGGCCACGTCACGGCAGCAACATCAGGGGGGCAGCCATGTGTGAAGACGGCCGAGTGCTCGCTAACCCACCTTAAATCCCAGCCCCGCCACGCACCCTAGGTCCCTCCCCTGCCCCCTGCCCCTGCCCCTGCCCCTGGCCCCGAGCCCACCAGCTCTACCTCTCATCCCCTACCCCTTACCTCCTGCCCCCTGCCCTCTGCTCCCCTCCCCCTATTCCTCTTCGGCGCTCCTGATTGGCGGGAAATACGAGCGCAAAAAAAAAAAAAAAATCTTCTTCTGTTTCGTAGTCCACGCACCTTCGAAGTCGTATGCGATGTGTGAAATAAAGGAAGGAAATAAGAAAAAAATAAGAAAAAAACAAAGGGAATAAACATCTTAAGACCATTGATCTTTTAACTTGCTTTCTACTCTTTCTCTCTTT